GTGTGTGTGTGTTTGTGTGTGTGTTTGTGTGTGTGTGTTTGTGTGTGTGTTTGTGTGTGTGTGTTTGTGTGTGTGTGTGTGTGTTTGTGTGTGTGTTTGTGTGTGTGTTTGTGTGTGTTTGTGTGTGTGTTTGTGTGTGTTTGTGTGTGTGTTTGTGTTTGTTTGTGTGTGTTTGTGTGTGTGTTTGTGTGTGTTTGTGTGTGTTTGTGTGTGTGTTTGTGTGTGTGTGTTTGTGTGTGTGTGTGTGTGTGTGTTTGTGTGTGTTTGTGTGTGTTTGTGTGTGTTTGTGTGTGTTTGTGTGTGTGTGTGTGTTTGTGTGTGTGTGTTTGTGTGTTTGTGTGTGTTTGTGTGTGTTTGTGTGTGTTTGCCGTGTTTTGTTTTACTCCGCGGCTGGGGAGCTGCAAGGGGCTGCCAGACTAAGGTTTAAGAGGAAAAGAACGAGAAAGCTCGCAGCGTTGTGTTAGTGCACCGGGTGTCTGAGCATGGAGCAGGGCTTCACTGCTTTCCTTGTCGGGAGCAGGCTGAAGTCGCTGACAGGGTCGACCTGCGATCCCTGGGTTTTCACGGCGAGGAACGTACCGACTGCCCCAGGACTTCCCCGCTGCAGCAAGCGTAGGATTTGTCAGCAGGCACCACACTGACCCGTGCTGCTGCACGGAGGGTTCGGGCTGGAGGCAAAGCGCAGCCACCGGTGGTTTCGTGGCCCCACCGGGACTCTTGGCTGGGCACCGTGTGCTGGCCAAGGGCTCGGGGCGTTCTGGTGCGACACGGGGTGCCGGGGGTACCGCCTGCCATGTGTTTGCCTCCGGTGTGCCTGGAGGAGGGGGACATCCTCACGGGTGCAGCAGGGCTGCCTGCACCGCGTGTGCAGTGCTTTAGAAGCCTGTGAAGTGGAAGGAGCTGTTTTCTGTATTGCACACGCAATTCCCTCTGTATTTTTCAATGCAGAAAAAGCTGAGGGATCCAAAACCTGCAGCGCTGGTAGATGAGCAGCTTCAGCTGCAGCAGACCCAGCCCAAGAGCTGGGGAGCACCTTTGTGCTGCAGAGGACACAGCCATAAACGCCAGCCCGCAGCTGGCAGCAGGCTCGGCTCCTTTGTTGGCAATAGTTCATGAGGGTTTCCTGCCCAGCCCTGCTCCTACCTGTCTGCTGCTACTGAAGCGTGACTTGTATTCGTTACGCTAAATGCCTTTTCTTACTTACAGCACTAACAGTGGATCAGTCCGGATTCAGTGCACAAAGGAGCTGGAGGAGTCTGTGAGCGATGCCCCACTGTGGTCTCGGATCAGCAGTTACTGGTGAAAATCCAGGGGTGCTGAGCACCCTGTGGGTGCTGACATCTGCTCACCAGGGTCACCCCTGTGTGGGGTTCTCGTGCCTTTGTGCCAGGCTGGGACCAGCGTTGCTGAGGAGCTGGGAGAGGCTGAGCATGAGGGAGAGGGAAGAGATGTGGTGGGGACGATTGTGCTGCTCGCACTGAGTCACAGGCATGGGGACCGCAGCTAAAACCTACAGTGTGTTAGGCCCTTGGAGGCTTCTGAGCCTGTGATGGAAGCCTCAGAACTCACCTAGCACTGAAGCAGGGGTATTCATCCCTCGAAAAGAGCACCCTCAGCCACTGAACAGGAGCGGTCGACTCACACCCCATGGTTTGTGCTCATAAATGCAGAGAGCTCTGCCATGAAAGGCAGCTCAGGTGAGAACTCATTCCAGGCTGGTCTGGTTCCCAGTGTGAGCCACGGGTGTTTGCAGTGTCCCATGGGTACCTCGGTGTAAGGTATTCCAGAAGCTGTTGCCATCTCCCTGGCTCTGCTGGATGCAGTGAGAGGTGCCTGAAGGCACATCTGGGATCCTCTTCCTCCCTGGGCTGGTTCCTGGCATCTGCGTGCCATTGGGTAAGGGATTGGCCTCAGGCAGGGAAGGGTTCAGAGAGCAGAAGGGGCTGGCCAGGGAGGCGTGAGATGCTATCGGAACTGGGAGAAGTGGTTTCCTACCCTGGGAAGCCAGTCCTGGTTTGGGCAAATCATTCACAAATGATGCTGGACTCCAGCCATGGATTGGCTTGGCTGGGCAGGAAGGTGGAGGATAGGCTACGGATTTCAACCCTTTTGGCTCGTGTGCCTCTCTTTCGATTGCTGTTGTCCTGATTTGCTGCAGGTAGCTCCTTTTTCCTTCTCTTGTCACAGGTGCTGTTTCAGCAGTGGGTTTGAAGGTGAACTTCCCATAGGTCTGGCCAGAGGAGCTGGTTGTGCTGGGTTTTCCCTCTTCCCTCTGGGCTATGCCTGTCACAGGAGCTCAATCCACAGCCCCTCTGAGCAGCTCTGGGGGCCACAGCTGAGCTCTGGGCTCCAGCAGCCTGGTGGGGTTTGTCCATTCCAGTTCAAACCCTGGTTCTGACATAACATTTACAAGGTTTCTAATCCAAGTGTGCCTGAGATCCTGGCCTGGAACCAGTGGGAAAACACCTCTGGCTTGTTTTGCTTCCGTGCGCTGCCTGCAGAGGCAGCCCTGCCCTGCAGGAGCCACCGTGTTTTTATGGTGTGGATGCGCTTTGCTGGTCGCGGTGGAGCTGCTGGAGCTCCTGTGAATAAGTGCATTCACACAGAGGGGGAGGAGGGGGGTGTGTGGCCCAGTGTTTTAAGGCAGAAAGTTGGACTTGGGAACTCTGCAGTTCCTAGCCCAGTTTAGACCTTGCTCCTGGGCAAGTTTCTGACAAAGCCTCTCTGGTTCGTGTTTGTGGGCACGGCTCTTGAAGCGAGGGCATTCCTGTCTGGGGACCTGCCTTCACTGCCCCGGTCTTCATCGTCTGCGGGAGCTGAGCTGTTCCAGCCCCTCTCAGTGTAATTGTAGCCAGGTACAATGACTGCTGTTTGTTCTTGGTGCTGCTACTGCACGGTGCAGTTGCCTGCAGCTTGTGTAACTGACTTGGCAGGGAAAGGAAATGCTTTTAATCTGTGTTTTAACAACAGCTGAACCTGGAGAGCTCATGTCAGGACCTGAGACAAACGCTCACATATAGGTGCTGGTCCGAGCTGGGGACACGTAGGACACAGGCTCCACAGAGAGCCGGGTGTTCGCCTCAGGCCATGGCTATGCCTCAGCTCCCAGGAGCCGATTGAACTTGAGGTTTTTTTTTCCTCCTTCTTCCCTCTTTTGAGCCTCACAAGGTAAATTCAGGCACATTCCGGTCTCTCTGCAGCACTGGGTTCATTGCTTCTGAAAATACAGCTTGCCTCTACCCCCGGCGATATTCCCTGTTCCCGTGGCTCGTGATGCTGCTGGAAGCACGTGGCTGCATGGCCATGAGGCTGTTTGCACCCACGATTATGAGTTACGGGGTTTCGGGAGCTGAAGCCGAGTTGGTGACTCTCCATCGTGAGGCTGTTTCCCTGCCATGCTGTGCCATGGATGCCCGGTTGAGTCCCTCAGTGCTGGAAGCGGCCAGGCACAATGAAACACACCGGTTCAAAGCACACGACAGGGAATCTGGCTGCAAAGACAGGGAATGTCAGCGAGGCAGGAGGGGAGCTGAAACACCATCCACTGCCTGGGGCAGATCCCAGGCCAGGTCCCTGTGCTTGGGCTCAGTTACTTGAGGGGAGAAGAGCTCTGGGCTTCCTTAGGAGGATTAACTCCTCCCTGGGATGGAAGTGAGTTTGCTGCTTAGGCTGATGTGTGAGCTGAGCTGGACCTCAGACAGTGTGCACTGGACCTCAGGCAGACATGCCTTAGCATAGAGCTCCTGTGGCGTGGCAGCAGGGTTCATGTGGATGGTGGTAGCTGACTCCTCAGCCTCTTCCTTCCCACATAAAGGATGGGGATGGGTCTGTGGTGTGGAATTCTTGCAAGAGAACAAATCAGATTCAGTCACCTGCCAGGACACCCACAGCTCCTGTGGTACAAAGTCCTTTCCCCTCATTTAACAGAACCCGGCTGCCTCTTGGGCTTCTTCAATGACATTTTGGCATTTGCTTATTGAAATGAATGCTTTATACCTCTGACAATTTGCCCCTCCTCACATAGCTCCAGCACCCTGGTAGTGTTCATGTGAACTCAGCTCTTGGTGGCCTTTTGATTGTGCAAGATGGTTTTCACATGGCACTTGTTCATTTACATCTGCAAGAGGACCTGAGGGAACAAATCCCAGTCTAAATAACCCAGACAATATTCCCTTTCCTAGCCAGTATACTGAGACACCCAGGAGTCAAGCAAACCAGAGCTGGGTTTGGTTGTCCCATTCCTCAGTGGGTTTTGTGATTTAAGACCAGCCCCGTTGACACTGTTGGGAAGGGGATGGAGCCCCAGCACGGCAGAGCTGGCAGCCAGTGCTCTTCCTTAGACCTGTGTGAGTGAGGAGAGAAAAATCACCTTGGTTTTCAGCCTGTGTTTGGCCACACTACACACAGAAAACACTGCCTGTGCAGCAGAGCAGTTGAAAGGGTGAATGAATTCTCTAGTGAAGCTTCTGGGATAAACCCCATGTATATTCCTGCTGGAAACAACAGCTGATTTGTGTAGTTTAAAGCCTGCACACAGCTCAATGCAGACCTCCCTTTCCAAGGTGGCGAAGCACTGGTGCCTCTTCCTGCCCAGCACCTGCCTCCTGCAGGGAGTTGGCTCCCAAAGTCCTGCTCTCCTGCAAAAACCTCAGTCCGAAGGCTCTGTTCCCCATCTCCCCTCTCCTGTAACTGCAGGAGCTGCTTGACAGGTGAGCTCTGATCCAAGCGAGTGAGCAGGGGCAGGGCAGGTGCAAGGTGTATCAATGGGGGCATTGCTGCCGCTTGCCAAAACAACCTCTCGTGGATCTGCCCGGCTGTTTGGAATGGAAACGTGCCCAAAGCTTCACTTTATGGAAACGTTTCCAGCTCCATAACACGGGAATGTGCCCCCAGCCCCGAGAGCTGCGGGTGAGCTGGAGGCCCTCAAACCCCCCCGGCCAAGGTGTGCCATGTGTCAGAGAGGAAGAATGTGGTGTGGTTGCTGTCTCAAAGTCCACCTCTGCTCCCCTGCTCTACAGCTTCTAGTGACCACCCTTGATTCCCCAAATGCTTTTCTAAGCAAAGGATCCAGCTGGGAATACCCTGAACCTGGGGGGTTCCCAGGGGGTTTGGTGGACTTTGCTGGGTCCTTGAGTTGCACAGCGTGGGCTTGGCCAGGCATAATCCGGATGACTGTTGGGAGGGGAGCGGAACTGAGGCTGGCTGTAGGTAAAGGGGGAACCTGTGCCTCCCACCCCAGCCTGAGACACAGACCTTGGACCTCTTGACTTGCTGCACAGTGCAGAAAACCCAAAGATTTGATTCATTCTCCAAGCTACATCCTGGACTTGTTACACCCTGCCAGATAAAGTCATCCTTTCTGTAACGCGCGGTTTCACTGACAACAACAAGAATTCTTCAGTTAGAGGTGTGACTCAGGCACAAATAGCTCACCATTACCAGGGTGGTTTGAACCAGATTGCAGTAGGTATGAGTACAACATGGCTTAATATTGAAATATTCAGCCTTATTTTTTTGGGGGGGTTATTCTAATAGGCAGAGGAGGAGAAAACCCCTTCTGTAACTCTGGAATTTGTGCTCTTCTAGTCAGGAGCAGCAAGGTAAAAGCTGGATGTGGCTTTTTCTGTATTATGCCTATGGTCAAAACACTTGCTCGGGTTTCCCCAGCCTGCAGCAGGATGGAGCCTCTTCAGCCTCCTCTTGACGGTGGTACAACCTGCACTGAGTGGATGGGTGGGAAGCAGACGGGTGCCCAGGCTCCTCCAAGGCATGTGTGAATCCTTCTGCTGTGGTATAATAAAGGCAAACTCTAAAGACAAAACAGTTCTTTCAGCATGGACAGATCTACAACTACAGTTGATGATCATGTTGCTGGATTAACTTGGCCTTGGCTAGACAAAGGAATCATTCAGCCAGGGGAGAATGACCCAGTTACAGGCTTGAAACAGAGTTAATTTGGTTTTTAGATTAAAAGAAAAACCTGGAACCTTTTTAACTTCAGGGGATCGAAGTATTTGATGAATGGACCTTGCAATTCGGATCCTCCCTACCCAGGCAGGCGCTGACCCTGTCCCTTGCTGCTGGTTACTGACCTCTCTCGTTCCTCCTCTCTGCGAGGAGCCTCCCAAGTACACACCGTGTGTTGACTCAGCCACCGGCCTCCCCACCCCGAAACAACCTCGCCTGTCAGGAGCAGTCAGAGCTGTGTCCTCCTTCCCTCCCAGACCTGCAGCCTGCCACAACCTGGGATTTGTTCGCTCAATGCTGCTTTGCAGAAACCTGTAGGAAAACCTCAAGGGGGGGAAAAGGAAGGGAAGGGAAAGGCCCTTTCAAATTTCCAGTTCTTTTTATTACCGACTGATTTCTGTCCACTTAATAATTTAATTTTCTGGCTATTCTATCTCTTGTGCTGTGTAAAATTGAAGCCACTAAGAACATGCCACAGATGCACAGTACCCCAATGGAGTATAACAGAGCAGGGCAGAGTCCTGCCTGGTTGTACTGGGCACCATCTGAAACAAGGAACCTCAATTCCAGTATCAGGTGTTGAAGAATAATTTCGATGGGGAGTTTGAGCGCATTAGCTCTCTGAAGCTGGGAGCTGAAATGGTTTCAGAGGTCTGTTTGAAGTGGTATCACACCCTTCTCAGGCTGAAGGAGGCTTTTAATGGCTCAGGTTACTGGTCACATTTAGAAAACATTTGGAAAACGCTTATAAAATCAGCAAACACACGCTGCTCTTTCTAGAGCAGCAGTTTTTCCTCCCCAGATGCAGGAGCAGACATGGGTTCAGCTTTGGGCACTTGCCCTCTTCCAGTAACAGACTGGGGTGACACTGGCATGAGTGAGGCGCTGGTTAAACTTGCATCAGCTTCCTATCATAGTCACACTGCAATCTTTTCCTGTCATGGGTCAGTGTTGTTTGTCGTGTAACCTTCAGAACTTCCAGTTAGGGGTTAAATGGTTTTTCTTCTTCAGGTTAGATGCTTGAAACTACTTAATTCTATTCTATAAAGGAGTTTTTAATCCTTTAAGTGCAGGCTCCTTTACTTAAAGACATGTTACTGAATACTGAATTGTTCACTTCACTTGTGCAATGATTTGAATCTCAACCTGAAATGATAATCTGAAATCCTAAAGCATTTAAAATACATATTTACCCAAAGCTTGTATAACAGCAATAATATATAGATAACAATGCATGAGTTTGTATCTTATTTTAGCCTTCTAATTCCAAGCAGTGTGTGCTTTAAGGCAAGTTGCTCCAGACTAGGTTGTAGCAAAGCCACCACTGATTTCAGCAGAGCCAGATTTTCACCTCGAAGGAAATCTGAAGAACCCCAGTCCAGTGACTGCGCACTTAGTGGCCCCGAATCTTTGATGGAGTGTTGCCTAATTATCACTGTCAAATGCTGGTTAATGTTTTATGAACTCACTCTTCTTTTTCCCTCCTGCAGCTGACTCAAGATGACGACAGCCGCACCACTGGTCAATAACACCCAGCTCTCGGTAAACGTGACCACAAAGTCTCAAGAACAAAGCCTCTATCAAAGTAAGAAACACACTGGGGAGGTGGCTGTATTTGCCTTATTTTAAGTGGACCTTGAACTTCGCAAACTTCAAACCGTACAATGACAACTTTGTACATAAGGCTTCTTTCCCTTTCTGCTTCCCTGCCAGGCTCTGGAGCCATAGTTGCTGCCATTGTAGTAGGAGTGATTATCATTTTTACAGTGGTTCTGCTCATACTGAAAACATACAACAGGTATGTGCCAAGCTCTGTACTTCACTGAGAAAGGATGAACCAAGGTCACTGCTGAGTGTGCTTTCACCTAATGGACCATTTCAGTATTGGTTGCTGCAAGTTTCCAGGAGATGCTAAGCTAACTTGACTGAAATCCCTGCCTCTCCCTGCTGCTGTTCTGTGACTGAAGTGCTGGGAAGCGGGAGGAGATTCGTGATGGAGGATGCTGGATGGAAGCTGTTCCTAGAGGTCCCTGTTGACACAAGGGAGCATTCTGGTGTGCATCGTGGCTGCCAGAGGAGCTTGATTTTGCACTTTTCAGGGTGCTGGGTTACACTTACATGCTCTAGGAGCCCTGAGTTGCCATTTAGTATCTTTGGGATGAAATCCTGTCTTGTATGGACTTTTAAGAAGCTGTTTGATGTAACCTGCTTCTGCAGCAGTCTTCCCAAGACTTACCAGCTCTAGTGACCATCTCATTTTTGCCTTTACAGACGCATGAGAGTGAAACGGGAGCTGGAGCCCAAACCCACCAAAGCAGCAATGTCGCCTGCATTAGGGCAGCCCAGCCACAGCCTGCCTCAGCATCCCACAGTGACCTTCATACCTGTGGATATCCACATGCAGAACAGGTAACTGGGAACACTTGTCCTCCCCGTGAGCAGAGTGGTGGAATTCTCATTTGTGTGGATCTGGGACTCCTCAGCAAAGTGAATCTGCATTTGGAGCTGTTACTCTGTCTACAGATTGTAATTAATCCCACTTCCTGTCTTTGAGAGGAGAAATAAAGGGTCTGGATGTTTCCCCTGTGACTGAAATCAAGTGGTGGAGGCATGTGAATCACCAGCAACGCAGCGAGCTGCCTCACAGAGCTCTGGGCGTGAGGGACCAAACATACTGAGGAGGAGAAGATGGGCACTCTTCTGTGGAGCTTTTTGTGTTTTACAAAGACTGATGATAAATGGGAAGAAACCTTTGGACATGAACCTGGGTTGATTTATGTGAAGTGGGTTTGTAGCCTCGGTTATACATGATGGATGGTACAGGAAGTATCAAACCTGTATTTATCCTTACCTTCTGTTTTTCTAACACTACGCATGTAAGGTTTGACATAAAAAAGGGACTTTTTATTTTCAAGTATTTAAAAGCATTTCTTTGCTGTTGGTAACCTTTCCCTTCCAAACAGACTCGGTGTCTCGGTGTTTTCACTCTCACATGGGGAGTTGCTTTTGGTTCACTATCAAATGTTTTGTTGTACACAAACCCTTTAACTGCAGAAGTGAACACAGAAAGGCAGCGAAAGCACCAAGGCTTCATCTGCACAACCCGCATCCTGAGGCGCTTCGTTCTCCAACACAGACCAGGCTTGAACTATTTTTAGGTATTTTTTCTTCTAGAAAATAACTGCCAGTGATGTTGTTTTGCAAGTGTGATGACTGTGGGTGTGCAGTAATGCAACGAAGACATTCCCAAGGACCTTCACAGCCCACAGAGTGCCAACACACTGCAGCATTGTCAGATGTGGAGTGGCGATGGTCCCAAGCAGCCCTGAGGCAGGGAGGACTGGGAAGAAGCTGAAGTGGGGCATTTTACCTCTTTCTGGGGAGCTGTAGAGAAAGGAGTGACCATTTTCTAACAGTATGTATCCCCAAGAACTTCCAACGTGCGGCTGACCTCGACCAGGTCATCTTTACTAACTGGTGTTTTTGTGCAGAAACTGAATTCGATTACTTTGCTTTTTGTTTTTTGTATGAAACTGGAGCACAGTTTGAATTCCAAACTAAATATTAAGACAGCTGTTTGTTGTAAATATTTCACTTGTCCTAGTTCTCTAACTTGGAGTCGGCCTCCTCTTTCTATCTCTGGGCAGCTGAGGATGTTGCCTGAGCATGTTTCACTTCTCAAAGCCATGATCTTTAGGAAACATAAGCCCCATCTTAGAGGTATTTTTAACGTTACCAGCCAGGGCTACTTCTAGCAAATTTTGGTTACTTTCCATTGACAGAATTTAAGCACAGGGAAGCTCACTTTTTGCTTCACTGCAGCAGAATAAGCAGTGCTACAGCAATTCTGGACTGGTAGGATTACTTGTAATAATAATAATTGGCAGCATTACTGCTTTGGCCACACTAGGGTGGCTCAATCTGAACAACTCAAAAGCGTGCTGTTTTACCAGTGAAATTTGCCTCATCCTGGCACAGCCAGGGAGGCCCCACGGATCCATCCTCCCTCCTGCCAGCAAAACCCAGAACTGTGCTGACCAGGCAAAATCACCTTCTTAAGAAACAGAACTCACTCTGTTCCCACTGCGCTGCCACTTAACACTTGTGCAGCTTGTTGTGGACAGAACAGTTTTCCAGGCACGGTCCCACACTGCCCTTGTCCTACAGTAGTAACTGTTCCAGTGCCAATTCCACCTGCCCTGTCCAGTTACCCAGCTCCCACTTTCAAACCTGCCCTGAGTTGCTATCAGGTAAACCTGCTGCTTAGAAAACCCCAAGCTAACAAAAGCACCTGAAAGCCGATACCAAATTGGTCTATTAGAGACATCCAAGACTCTGGAAGCCTTTGGAGAGAACACGCAAAGCAAGTGGAATGCTCACTTGTGATTCAAACTCATTAGAGATGGTCCACGAAGCCCTGCAAACTAATACAAAGCTGATCAGTTAGAGGCACAAAAGCATCCTTCTGCTTAGCAGTGTAGTGACATGATCTTGGCAGTCCTGGGGTACAGTTTGGACTTCATCTTAAAGGTCTTTTCCAACCGAGTTGATTCTATGATACACAGGCTTCCTGTGTGCTCTGGTCAAGTATGTCTCTTTACAACACCCCGGCGGGGCTGTATTCAGCAGACAATGGGCACAGGTGGGCATATAAATAATGACTGCACGTTTCCCTAAGGGCACAGTCGGGAGGGGTCTGTGCTGGGTCGTGCAAGGATTACCGTGGGTTTTTTCATTCTTTTCACCTGGAAGTCCTCTCGCAGGCCCGCGCAATTCCCTCCCCCAAGTCCACGGCTAAAGCGTTCCCACCTCTCGCTGCTGCCGTCACCCCCCGCTCCGGCCGCTGCGCTGGGCCGAGCCCGCAGCTCCACCTCGCGTCCGCTCCGGCTGCCGCTCGCCTCGCCCTGCAGTCCCCCCGGTGCCGCTGCCGACTGCACAGCGACACCCGCTCTGGGCGGATGGACTCGTTCTCCCCGGCTCCTTCCCGTCCCACAAGCACTTGGTTCTCCAGGAGCCGTGGTGCTGCACTACCGAGCGCCTGCAGAGCCGCGCGCTGTTAAACCTCACTTCGTAGCGAGAAACCCAACGTTTCCTTTTGAACTATAGCTTATTTCACACAGCCCCCCACGCCGGGCCGTTACTGCGGACAAACCTTCATTAACTTCCCGTTAATTACTTATTTAACCCCGGCACGGACACCCGCCCTCACGCGCTACCTCACGACCGCCTCCCCCCTTTACCCTCCGCGCGTGCGCGCCGGCCGCGAGGTCACCTGACCCGCGCCCCTCGCGCGCGCCCCGGGCCGGCAACATCTCGCGAGAGGAAGGCTCACATCTCCCCCTTCCCCCCCCCCCCCCCCCCCGCGCGAGGACGTCTCGCAGCCGCCCCTTCACCCCGGCGGAACGTCGCTCCTTCTGATTGGTCGTCCTCCGCGCGCGCTCCGGCCCTCCGCGGCAGTGGGAGCCAATCGGGAGGCGCGGAGAGCCTCTGCGGAGCGCCCGGCCCCGCCCTTCCGTCCCGGCCTCTCCCCTCCCCGAGCGCCGAGCGTGCGTAGGGGCGTGCAGCGCGCGGGGCACGCCGGGACGTGCAGCGCGCGCGGCCGGAGGAGGCGGAGGAGGCAAGATGGACGCGGGGTTCTTCCGCGTAAGTGCCGGCCCCGGGGCGGGCGGGGAGCGGTGGGGTCGGCCCCGGGGAAGGGGGATGTGCGGCGGAGCCAGGCCGGACCGCCGCGGGCCAAGCCGCAGGCGCCGCGCTCCGCCGAGGAGCGGAGCCGTGCCCCCGCCCCCGCCCTGCGCAGGCTCCTGTGAGGAGCCGCCGCGAAGAAAATGGCGGCGGGAGGAGGCCGGGGCGGCTTGGGCCAGGCGCGGAGTTGGGGGAACCGGCAGAAGGGGGACTCGGCGCCGCAGGCAGAGCTCGGCGGAGGGGGCGGCTGGGCTGTGCGCCGCGGGGACACCTGCGCCCGTAGCGCGGCCTCTGCCGAGGGCCCCGGCGCGGCCTGGTACTGCCGGTTCTTGAGCTGGGCTCCAGGGCGGCGACCCCGCGGGAGGAATAGGGGCTCCAGCGGCCGCGGGGCTGGCCTGGCCTGGGCGGGCGTGTGTCGCAGTCCGGGCACAGCGTGACGGCCCTGACCGGCGGTGGGAAGCCAGGCCCAGGGGGGTGCGAAGCGGACCCGCCTTTGCAGTGAAATGCACGTCGGTGTCCCCGTTCCGAGCAAATAAACCAAACTGCCCTTGGTTAGAGGGGAGCCTTAAACTGTGACACGAAGGTTATGTGTATTCAAAGCAAAAAGAAGTTGCTCTTTATCTTTAGGCTGGTATTTATTTTCTTTTATAATAATTATTTCTTTTCTTTTCTTACAGCTCTGCTGTATTTCCTGCAGAGACTCTTAACCCGTAGCCTGCCCGGGGTATCTTTCTTTTCAGCCTTTTATTCCGTTAATAGAATGAACCAATTTTTGGGAATTTCTTGACAATTTTTAAAGCCAGCTTAATTCTACAAGATTCAGTCACCTGTTCAGCCCCAGTTTTATTATTTTTCTTGCAGCTGGGGTGCTTTTGAGACATGAGGGCACACAGAACCCTCCACTTAATTCCATTTTCTGTTAATGCGTAGAAAAAAATCACTGAGTTAAATCTACACTTGTTCTGTCTAATGCAGTTGTGAAAGAGTATACAGGTGAAGTAGTTGGAATTGATGGCAGAATGAATGGGACTGGAAACACATTAGATTTGAAATCTAATATTCTTTTAAACTGGCCTGTGGAAGGTGACTGTATAAAACCAATGATAGAGCCCTGACAAGGGGCCTGTAAGCAGCATCCTGGACTGGGTTCAGGAGAAACCCATGTTCTTGTGGGAACTGGAGCAGAGCAGGAGTTTGGACTCACCTTATCAAGTAAACTGCTCTTAATCCTTTCGGGTCTTCACAGTGCTGTAAGGTGGTCAGTGCAGATGACTATGGCTCTGCCTTGAAATGCCTGTGATAGAGTGTTCTGCCTCTTGTTTGGTTCCCTTTCCTGCTTGCCAAGTGTTGCAAATGGGCTGAGGAAAACTTCAGTCCTTTCAGTTTCATTTCTGGGTTGTAAAAGAGAAGTAAAGAAACAAATAAAGTACATTCAATTGCTGAGTGCTGTGACAAGTGTTGTGTACATGTTGCTACTGTGTAAGCCACACAGCATACTGCAGGTATTATAAAGAGTTTTAAACAGACTTAATCCTGGTAAGTGCCTCTGCCACAATCAGTCTTTAGGATTCCTGTGTTCCAGAACAGCAAACGGGAGTGTTAATAGCTTTCAGTATCTGATGACTTTTAGCATGTGACCTTGCTAATACAAGGTGCTTTTGATCCAGGGGAGTGGTTGGCTTACTTTAGGATTTGAGCTTTTCCTTACAGTCTTTTGGTTCCTCAGCAGCTTGTAGTATTGCTGGTACTCAACCTCTTCTTGCATGCACAGGAAATTGCAGGTATTAAATTCCCCAGTTTTCTATCAGCCAGGTTGGTTTCCTGGATAAACTTCACATGAAGTGCGAACTGTGCCTTTGTTCTGAACCATTAACAGGTCATTGGGATCTGGATGCTGTTCTTCACATCCTCCTCTTCACGTGTGCTTTTGTTTACTTCTGTGCAAGAACTGGACTTTCTTGCCTTTCAGTTCCAAATGAATTAACCTATAGTTTCTGCTCATGAAAGTGGAACGAGTTGGTGAACTTTTAACAGAGCATGATCAATAAAGCAGCATTCTTTGTACTCTTGCTGGCTCTGTGTTGGCTGATTTGCTGCAGAGAGATTGACCCAAAGGTTTCGTAGATGTCACTGTAAACAATGTGACATTTTTGTTCTTGGACAGAGGAAGAAGCCCTTAGTTCTGTTGTGAATTCCAGGCTAAGTCCCTTCCATAGCAATTTGATACTACTGTACTTTTAAATACGTAAGTAGTAACCTGGGGAGATTATATGAGTAAGGAGTCACTGTGGAGCTCGGGAGCCTGCTTCCCTCTGAATCTTCTGACGATAGATGGAGACTACAGTGCTAAAATTGAAAGGCACCTGAAAAGGCTTTTTTTGCTTACAGACTGGTATGACTGGTGTTACTGTGCACTTTCCAGGGCCAGTATGTGCGAAACTGATACTTGTAGATAGTTGAATGTCATAAGACTAAAAATCTTCTTTCCTGTGCTTTAGGGAACAAGTGCAGAACAGGACAATCGCTTCAGCAACAAGCAGAAGAAGCTGTTGAAGCAGTTGAAATTTGCAGAATGCTTAGAAAAGAAGGTAAGTTGATTAGGATGAGAAGGGAAGACACATGAATCAAAGGCAATTTCCAGTGGAGTAATTGGGTATCTTATGGTACCTACAAGGAGGTGAGGAATGTTTTCTCTAAAACCATACTGGAGGATATACAGAACATCCACTTGAGCATCAAAGCTACAGTAGTAATATATATGGTCTAGTTACAGTGCTGAGTATGACCAGTAGGCTTGGATGTAAAATACATCTTCAAAAGACAAAAACTGATTCCTGAAAGAATTGCATTCCAAAGAGTTAGGTAAAACTAAACACGTTTAATTCATACTGTTCCAAAAAGGTAATATGTGGTTGTAGTTTCTAGGGATAAAGGGGTGAATAAAACATCTAAGAAGTGTTCATTTCTCCACAGAATTGGACTGTGCTCTCACTTTGGGTAAGGATTTTATAAATAAAGAGATTTGGAATGGTTGAATTCTAACTTCGGATGGTTTTGTGGAAGTTGAAGTGTGTAGTAGGCAGCTGTCAGGGGGTCAGTGAGCTGAATCAAGACTATTGCTTTATCTTTCAGTGGGTTTCATTATTTACTGGAAACTGAATTGTACTAAGGGATTTTGCTGTCTTGTCTAGCTAGTGTTTATTACACTTTACTAGAAATTTACTATGTTTTTATTTTTCTTAATATCCCTTGGTTCAAATTTTAGCTATTTGGGAGAGAGAGAAGTCTGGTTTAGAGGAAGAAAAGGCAGGGGGGAGTATGGTATCCAGCCTTGTGCTTTAATCAAAATGC